AGTACACTGCTGAGGGGAGCAGCGGGTGGGTCAGGAGAGGTCTGCCACACCATGTGGTCACCTCCTGGGCAGGTGGGAATCGAACTCAGGCTGAAGTGGCTTTAGCTTCTCAGTGCAGTGCTTTAACCCGTTGCGCCACCAGGGAGGGCTGCTATGGAAGGGTTTTAATGGAAAGAAAACACTGTCACATTTTAGGTTCACAAAGAACTACTGCATTTAAGAATTGAGGTAAGAGGGACAGAAATCAGCTAAGACATTATTAGAATAGTCTAAGTGGGAAAGAGAACATAAACTGTGGCAAAGGAGTGATGGTAGAAGGTAGTTGGCAAGACATAGGAGAATGAATCACATTTTTCTGATGTGGACTTTTGGGCAGGTGAGAGACCATTAAGGGCAGGTGTTTCCCATTAAGGGAAACAAAGAACAAATATGATTAAGACGGATTAAAGATATGGAGTGGGCAAGGACAAGAGAAGTTTGGTTTGGCTCATAGTGAGTTTGAGGTATCAGTGGAAATTGAGTTAAAAGTATTTCTTGACTAGACCAAGGAAAGTGAAACAGAGAAATTTAACCATATAACATAGAGAGAACAGTAATTCCTAACCTTAAGACAAATCTCCATCAACTTGGACATTTCTTCGTATCTTTAATTTATACTGTACATAAATCTTCAGAATGATGACTGATGTTTGCATATCTAGAAACTTCTCAAATTTACCCTTGAACAAAAGTGTGGTGGTATTTCTGAGAGAAGCTAGTTTATTAATAAGGTGAACAGGATCACAGTTACTAGAATAAATGTGGTTTGTAAGAACCTCTTTGGTGGAAGTTATCAAGGAAATACTTCCCTACAATGTCATTCATGGTAGTATAACAAATACAAGTTTCCTGCTGTATGTTTGGGAATAACTTTTACATCTTCCCTTTTGATAGCTAAATAGTATGCTTATGTTTGCCTCACTGGGGCTGGGGCAGGAGAGGTTGGGTGTTCTGATTATCAGCACAGAGGCTCTGGCCAACCAGTGGGTAACTTAAGCATTCATAGACAAGTTCTATGGATGGCTTACCATGTGACTTGAGAGTTTCAGCTGCCTGATGGACACAGGGCAGCAGCCTGGGCACTGAACTGCAGATGGATTGTAGATGCACTGAGGAAGGCATTACAGTTTTGTGAAATGTGTGGGGCTAGCTTGACATAGATGAAACCTGCTAGTTTAGTGACTGTGTTCTTGGCAAAAGCATGGTGCTGCAGAATTTCAGCACTATAGCTGCTATAGTGGGGATCAAAAGGGAGGAGAGAAGGGAATGAAAGAAACTATAAATTCAAGATCCCATATACAAAATGTTAGCTGTCTATTAGTTTTTGCATCTTTTGAGTCACCAGATTGAAGCACAGTATTTTGAATCTGGCTGGCAGATGGTGTACACAGACTTTCTGGGCATGTTAACATTTCATTTGAAACTAGTAAGATTACATAGGACTACCATGGTAATTTAACATTCATAGAGACTTTTAATTTGTCCCTAGACCTGCGGTAAATCTATGGTCCCACTAACATTTTAAAAAACTTTGTTAATAAAGTTGGAGCTCACAGAACAGTCATAGAATATAATAATTCCACAGGACACTGACAAAGTCTTCTTTTTTTGAAAAACTGGACTACCCAAGAGAAGAGTACAAGGGGGAGAGTTTAAACCAGAAGAGATGGTAAGTACCCATGCCTGGATTCTCTGAATGGGACATCTCCATTTACCAGCCCTCTCACTTCCTTTTATGGTTGGAGAGAACCTTTAATCACCCCAGCAGTCAGCTTTTTAGGGTAAAGCTAATCTTTGTTGACATCATCCTACCACTTCCCTTTTCAAATTCCAGAGAAGCTATGTGTTTCCTGTCCTATTCTACATCCTAGAGATTGAATATGCACGGTTAGTGTGTTAATTTAGAGTGGCAACAAAGTGTTAAATTTTCAGAGATAAAAACAGGCGACATTTTCAAGTCTCTCAAGAATAGCTGTAACTTAAGCAGGGACAGTTTTAACAGTGCCACAGTTAAGAGAGGCTACCTGGTAGACTCAGGAACTGGGCCCACTCTTCCTTAAGGCCAGAGATTGGCTTTCGGGGTACCCCTGGAAACAATCTTGTCTGGGCAGGAAAGCCCGAGGAGTCGGAGCCCCGACACCCCCTTCCTCAGGCGGAGCTATTAAAGTACCTAGCAGCATCTCCTCTTTGTCAGGGATAGGTTTCAAGCACAAGCACCAAGATGCCTCAGGAATGGGTAAGAGTAGAAAGGGGAGAAACTGGAGGTCCTTCCGGGACCCTCCCCCAGCGCGCAGAACTCCACGCCCCTTCCCGCCCCGCCCCGCCCCCTCTCTGTGACCCCGCGGGCCTGGCCTGGGGCGACCTGTTGGCAGGGAGCGTCACGTGACGCAGCCGGCTGCGCACCACTGCCCCCGCCCTCGACGGGCCTCCTGTTGCGCCCGCCGGGCGGGCTCGATCACGTAACGCGCGGGCGCCGCCCCGCTCTTCCCTCGCTGAGCGAGGGAGGGAGGGCGGCCGGGCGTGGAAGAGGAAAGGGAAGGGAAAAGGGGCGGGAGACGAGGAGGGGCGGTGCCCGAGTCACGTGACCCGGGGCAGCCCGGAAAGCTCTGAGGAGGAGCCTGGCGCCGCCATTTTCCTGCAGCTGCCTGTCCCTCTTTCCCGGCCCGGCTACAGCTGACCAGGGAAGGGGTGGGCTGAGCTGAGGCGGGGGCTCGGGAGTGCCCGACGCCGTGCCTGACCCCGCGGGTGACACGAGCGGGTTCTTTCTGGGCCGGGTAGCGGCGCGCGGCCCTGAGCCCCGCCCCAGGCCGGCCGGCGGAGAAGGAGCCGGTGGGGGTAGGGGGTGCGGTGGGGGGCGGGGGTCCTCCGGCGCTTGGGGGTCCTAGTCCCCGCTGGCTGCCGAGCGGGAGGGGTGGCGGAGGAGCCGCAGAGATGTCCGGCCAGAGCTTGACGGACCGAATCACCGCCGCCCAGCACAGTGTCACCGGCTCCGCCGTCTCCAAGACAGTATGCAAGGCCACGACCCACGAGATCATGGGGCCCAAGAAAAAGCACCTAGACTGTGAGTGAAGCCCGCCCCCGCGGCCCGAGTCTTTCTCCCCAGCTCTTTTCTTCCCCCTTCAGCTGCCACTACCCTGTCCTCGCCTTATCTGGCACGGCGGGACCTGTTCTCGCTTGAGCTCTGTTCTTTTTGCTTCCATCACACCTGCCTTCACGGCTTCCGTTCCCAGTCTAAAAATCCTTGACAAGCCACTCCCCTCCGGGTTCCTGGGGGACCCTCGCTCCCCTTCCCGGCGCGCTGCGATACCCCATCCCACTCGCCCAACTTGCCTCCCTCCAGCTTCTCATCTCCCTGCCTCCTTTCCGTCCACTGCAGCCTTGCACCCCTTCATCCCACCCGTCCGGTGCAGCCTGGTCGCTTCGCCCAAGCAGATCCCCTTTGGCTCGCGGTCTCAGCGCCCCATTGTTTCCCCGGTAGCTTTTTTCGGGTTTCCGTAAACGGAGGCTTCCGGGAACCCGGATTCCTTTTCTCCCCGCAATCCTGAGGGCTGTCTCCCTTGAAGTGATTCCCACGTCCTTTGCTCTTCTAGCCTTTTCTGTCTAGCCTTTTCTGTCCCTTCTCTTCCCGAGTTTCTCTTTTACCTTTCCTCCCCGATTCAGTTGACCTTTCTTCTTCGCTTCTAGCTCCAGTTAACTTTCTTCGGCTCATTGTATATTAAATATTATAGTCTCCGATTTTAGTCCAGATTATTTTCTTGGGATTGAAAGTAAAGGGATTCTCTTTGGTGTAGGGAAAGCTTTGTGGAAAGTTGGGATTTTTAATGGCCTCTGATGGAATAAAATCGTCGTACTTTCTTGCTTTTGAGTGGGGTAAATTGTGAATGTCCATTACCCTCCCCCTATTTTTTTTGTAATGGGGATATGGAAAAGGGATTGCGGATCGTGGCAGTCAGTTCGTGAAACTGTTAACCTTGGCGGTTTGAATTTAGAAGGTTGAGTGTGAAGCGTAGACTTTCGGAATTTAAAGTAGGTTAATGCTCAGTCTTAAAAAATGCATCTCTTTTAAATTGGTGAAAAGTTGTTGGGTGTTGTTTTAAATTGTGCTGGTTATCCTTCGGGAGACTAGCTTTTCTTATATGGCATTATATTAATCTAGTCACTGACATAGACAATTACTAGACTCCTCTAACTTTTTCCAAACCTGGAAGCCACCTGTAATATCCGCCTTTTTCTTTCCACTCCTTTACCTCAAGGTACAACGCTCAGTGGATTACTCAAGCTTTGACTCGATGGAGCTTTGACCTGAAACTTTTCAGGGAAAAATAGGGAAATAGGCACAATAGTAAGTTCCCTTTTTTAAATGGCTACTGGACACATTAGCCTGACCGACTTTTGTCCTACATGAAAGTTATTTTCCTTTACTGTTTGAAGCAAGAGTGAGCATGTCCTGAAAGGGAATTCACTGACAGTTCTGTTTTGATTTCTCTCTCAAACTTTGGACGTAATGTTTGCAATTTTTTTTTAAGTGAATTCTTCCTAGATATTTTGCTCGTGAAGGCTGTTAGAACAAGTCAGTGCTACAGACAAACCCATTATTCATTGTGACTTTTTCTCCCTCTGTGGAAACTTTTTTTTAATCATTACTGCTTGGTTTTCTCTGATGTTCAGGTCTTGCTGCTGCTGCTTTTTAAACTGTGGCAGCACTTGACTGTTTAGAAAATGAAGAATACATTTAAATGGGGACACTCTTATAAAACAAAATTATTTAAAACATACTGGGAAACCTCAAGTGGCCTTTTTATTATCTGGTATTGGAATAGAACGCTCCCTTCAAATGACTAGTTGGCTTGTTGGACCCAATCTTATGACTTGCTCTAACACTGTTAATTCTTTTGTTAGTTCATACCACCCCTCCAACCCCCCAATAGGCAAAGAAACTACTTGGGACTGTGAACTCGTTTCCTCTTCCCTTAAAATAATAAATTATTTTTAAAAAGAACTTTTTAAAGACCTTATAAAAGTTTTTCATTTTAATCAAATGTAGCAGTAGTTCTTATAACACATTGCGAAAATAGGTTAGATAAGGTTAGGAGGATAATATATACTTGTGGTTTTATAAATGTGAGCCTTTTCTCATGATGGATGGCTACTGCAGATGCTAGCTAGGATTAGGTTGGGAAATAGTCTCCCATTTGTAGTTCATTTTTCTATCACTGCTCCCACTTCTCTAGAATTTGAATATTCCTAATATTGCTTTCAAATTTGTAGTTTTACCACTCTCCCTCTTTTCATTTAGATTTTAAAATGCGGTGACACTATTTTCCCTATATTATTGCCTAAAATGCATATATAGTCAGTTTTCATTAATGTGAAATCAACTGACCAATGAGTGATTTTTCTAAACACCTTTCTCCCTTTAACATGCGTGGAGAATAGTGAAAGGCTTTACATACACTCGGTTTTTGAACAGCATGAATGACTTTAGAATTCAACGTTAAAATAATTTTTCCTCTTTCTGGAATTTTTCTTTCTAGTGAAAGCTTAGATATGTTGTACCTTTTTGCTAGTCTGAAAACTTAATGTTTAAGTAGATGATTAGTTAAAGAAAACAATTTTAAAATGTTAGTATTTAGCAAAATTATGCTTGGGACTATTGTTTCTTATAGACCTTTAGAATGTGGAGGTGGTTTCTGAGTACTTTGCCAAGGTCTTTCCATATTAGGAAGTGATTATTATAATCTGTGAATTTTGGCTTAATTCATACTACATATAATATACTTGCTTGAGAAAGCTCCTTTAGTTTGTTGGTGTTACTGTATAATATTGTTAACCTGTTTGTAGAAATAAATATAATTTGTATTTAATTTCAGGTATTTGAAGAATTTCAATATGCTAGGCACCTATTGACCATTACTTAATGTAATACTCTCTTACAGCTATGCCAGCCATTTGCATAGAAAGTAACATAATTCCATATAGAGTATGTAGAATACTTAAAAAATCCACAATGATTGAAGTCTATACTAAACACAATTTTTAAATGTTTAAATTCTTAACTTGAAAAAAACTTTATTTCACAACCTTTAGTCTCATTTTCTTTTTTGTTCTATACTTGTTTAATTTATTGTCCTCTTGGACATTTTCATTGTGACATGTTTCACTGAAATGTAATATATATGTAATGACTAATGGCTTCACTTTTATCCATATTTACCTCTTAATTTCCAGGGGTACTTCTTTCCAATCTCACGTTTTACAACAAAATCAAGATCATGTTCTCATTAAGCATCCATTTATAAGCACATCTGTTGTAGCTATAGCATGTACCTTTGTGTGCAGTATACTAGATCTAACAAGTTTTTTTTAAAAAGTTGTGAATGTGTTTAATATGTGGGAGGTGGAGTTCATGTTTGTGTTTCAAATGAACATTGAAAATGTATGTTAGATATTTGTGTATCAAAATAATTCCCTTTTTGAATAAATGTATTGCTTTTGAACTTTGATTTTAATGTCTTAGTTAATGTGTGATTCTTTGAGTGTTTAGTTTGCAGATTGTCACACAGGTGATGGGTCCTGATTTGGAAGAAGGTGCATGTGAGGAAGATAGTAAGTGGAAGATCTGCCCAAGATGTCTCTTGTTTAGAAATAAAGTAACTTGGGCTTTCTACACAGATCTCAAAGACGCAGTTATCTTGTAGTTTATGTAGTTTATCTTGTAGCTTACTGTTCTTTCCCATAAGAATTAATCATTTGATTTATATTTTCATTTTTCCGTATTTGACTTGTCTTCTCCCATACTGCTGAAATACACAAAATGGCAGTGGAGTCATCAAATTATTTTAAGATTTGACTAGGTATGTCATCATTCTGAAGTATATAGTAGAACTCCACAAGTGTGAATTTTTTTCTTCCTTGAGCTAGTTATGTTTTGAATAGTATGTATTTTTGAAAGTGAAACTGAAGAGAACTTGACATCTGGTCATTTTGGAAGATGTTTTATTTGTAACTAGCAAATTAATTTTAAAATGTATTTGTAAAGTAATTAGTCTTCACTAGTAGACTGCTTTTTAAAATTCTTAGGCTTTATACATCTAGTTTCTAATTGTATGGCAATGTTTTTTTGTTTAGTATATATTTTATATATATAAGTGAATTTAAAATGTCTGTTTAGATTGGCAATTGAAAAATGAAAACTACAAATGAAGCAATTTGACTTTCTCATTTGATTTGTGAAGAACTTATTTGAAATATTTATTAGATGTCTTAAAATACATTGTTAAAAATAATCATTTTAATCATTAGAATTGTTTAATTAAAAAAAGAATTGCGTTAATTTAAATAAAACTTTATTTTGATTCCAGTTGTCATTTGGAATATGTGAAAGCTTTACCATAATGCATTGAAAGTTTTCTGTTCTCTTCAGTTTCATTTTATGATTTTCCCCATAAAGTTAAAGAAGAAAAAATAGACTTTTAAGACTTGGCATGAGGGTAGAGCCCTATCAAGAATAGGATTAGATTTTCAAAGTATAGGCTTAGTATTTTCTCTTCCTGTTCTTTTGGTGACTGAAGTGGCGTTTCCGTTACTTTGTGTTCTGTCTCAGTTAGTTCCTAGTTAAACTGCTTTATATATTTCTCTAGAGAATTGCAATTTTTGATTTGACCTTTTGGTTTTGTACGTTCATTGTATATATGGCTTTTTTTTAGTAGAAATTGTTCCTGGGTAGTTAGATTTTACTAATATCTTTTTTAAGGTGAATTATCATGAGTCTGAAACTTTTTATTAAAAATGACATCATGGTTGGATTTGCCAAGTTATCAGAATACTAAGAGTTCTTAAGTAATGTTAAAATATAGTTGTGATACAGCGAGGCATAGTCTTTGTGCTTATGCCTACATTGACTTTATTTATATGCTGGGTGCTCACCCTACTAAACACTTTTATTAACTTGTTTATTCTCCTTAATTTTGTGAGAGCATTTTGTTACCACCATTTTACTGAAGAGAAAACTAATGTGCTGAGTTGAGTAATTTGCCCAAGGTCACTCAACTAGGTAAAGAT